CGGTGCTTCGCGCGCTGCGGGACGCAGATGATGCGCTCAAGCAGTACTTCGGCGACGGCGCGGACCCGTGCGCGTGGCGCGGCGTGGGTGCGCAGGACGGCCGGGTGACGACCATCGACCTGGAGAGCAGGAGCCTGACCGCGCTGCCGGAGGCGATCGGCGGGCTCGCGGCGCTGACGACAATTAACCTGAGACTCTGCGAGAGCCTGACCGCGCTACCGGAGGCGATGATGAGCGGCCAGCTCGCGGCGCTGACGACGCTCGACCTGGGCTACTGCGAGAACCTGACCGCACTGCCGGAGGCGATCGGCCAGCTCAAGGCGCTGACGACGCTCGACCTGAGGTGGTGCGAGAGACTGAGAGCGCTGCCGGAGGCGATCAACGGGCTCGCGGCGCTGACGACGCTCAACCTGGAGGGCTGCGACAGCCTGGCCGCGCTGCCGGAGGCGATCAGTGGGCTCGCGGCGCTGACGACGCTCAGCCTGAGCTGGCGCAACAGCCTGACCGCACTGCCGGAGGCGATCGGCAGGCTCGCAAAGCTGACGACGCTCAACCTGTTCGACCGCGAAGATCTGACAGAGCTGCCGGAGGCGATCTGCGGGTTCGCGGCGCTTACGACGCTCGGCCTGAGCCAGTGGAAGCGTCTGACCGCGCTGCCGGAGGCGATCGGCCAGCTCGCGGCGCTGACGACGCTCGACCTGGAGGGCTGCGAGAGCCTGACCGCGCTGCCGGAGGCGATCGACCAGCTCGAAAAGCTGACGACGCTCGACCTTTTATGCTGCGAGAGCCTGACCGCGCTGCCGGAGGCGATCAGCCAGCTCGAAAAGCTGACGACGCTCAACCTGCAGGGCTGCGACATCGACCTACCCGTCCAAGGGCTTTGCGGGATTGCGGCGCCTCGGCGACGACGACGGGACCGCCGTATGGACGGCGTTGACCGATCAGCAAGTCGCGGGGGCGCTGGAAAAGCGGGCCGCGGAGCGACGGGCCGAGCGGCGGCGGCTGGAGGCGTTCGTCTTGGAAAGAATTGGAGACGACGAGGATGCCATCGGCGAGAGACGACCTGCGGCCGTCGGCGAGGACCCGGCGGCCGCGCCGGCGGCCGCGCCGGCGGCCGCGCCGGCGGCCGCGCCGGCGGCCGCGCCTGCGCCGGCGGCCGCGCCTGCGCCGGCGGCCGCGCGTTCGCCCTCCTCAGGAGATCACCTGCGCGCGCCGCTCGCGCCGGATCCGGCCGCCGCCGGCGAGTGGCGCTCGCGCTTCGAAGAGGGCCAGAAGAGGATCGAAGACAAGCTCGACACGATCATTCGCGGAGCCGCGCGGGGGACGGGCGCGGCCGGACGGACGCGTTGGTGGGCGCGTGTTATGCCAATGTGAAACTCGGCCGCGCGGGAGGGGGAAACACTTCAACTGTGGGCAAAGGTCTCCAAGATGAGGCGCCGCGTAATCGATCGCAGCCTGGGCTGCTCTCGCGGCGGCGCCCCCGAAAGCGGTGCGCGCCATGCGGCGCGGCGGCGGGGAGCCGGTCCTGCGGCGGCCGGCGGCGCCCGTCGACCGGCGGCGGCGGCCCTGGTCCCTGCGGCGCGTCTGCTTCAACGGCTGCATGGCGACGATGATGGCGCTGGCGGTCCTCACGCACGTCCAGACCCTGCTCAGCCTCGACACGGCGCGCATGCGGTCCATCGTCTCCGACGTGCTGCCCGACGACCTCGACTGGTCCCTGGGCCTCGGCGGCCTCCTCGGCGGCCTCTTCGTCGACGCGGACGGCGACGGCGGCCCCGGCGGCGGCGCCGCGGTCGCGGGGAAGAAGG